GAGGGAGGGGAATAAGAAGAGGGGAGGGAGGGGAATAAGAAGAGGGGAGGGAGGGGAATAAGAAGAGGGGAGGGAGGGGAATAAGAAGAGGGGAGGGAGGGGAATAAGAAGAGGGGAGGGAATAAGAAGAGGGGAGGGGGGATAAGAAGAAGGGGAGGGGGGGAATAAGAAGAAGGGGCAGCTCTATAGGACAGGGGCCAAGACAGGGAGCTCTTTCACACTACGCGCGCACACACACACAATGCATCCCTATACATACACAGAAACACAACATACTTCCCTTACACACAGAGAAACACACAATGCATCCATTACACACACACACACAATGCAACCCTTACACACAAAGACAATGCATCCTTTGCACACATACACAGAAACAGACAATGCAAACCCGTACACACGCATGCAAACACACACACTTCTTTTCTTACATACACACAGAAACACAATGCATCTCATGCACACACATACAGACACACACCTTGCATCCCTTATGCATACAAACACAGATTCACACAATGCATCCCTTACACACAACCAGAAACACATAATACATCCCTTATACACAAATACACACTGCTTCCACTACACACAAACACACTGCATCACCTGCACAAACTGGTAACCCTAAACACTACATACCATAAGCACACATATTAGATCCTCTACAATAACACATAACACATCCCCTACACACTCCACTCCCTGTGAGCGAACTCATGGGTAGGTGGAACTTATGAGTGGGCCTTATGGGCATACTCACCGTCAGGCCCTGGGGCCCAGACCTTGAGCTGTGTAAGGGGCCCCAAAAAAATTGAGCTGCTTCCAATTCTCCCAGAACATTGAATTTTGTGACCACAGTTGCAAACAGCCTCCAGAGATCCTGTTCTACACCAGACCAGTGGAGCCAAACTGCAGCCCATCATCATCCTCATCTGCTTGTAAGTAGGCAATCTAGTATATTATTAGTGACACTAATCTATAATGTACCTCACATTAAAGGGACACTATAGCTTAATGAAGTGGTTCTGGTGTCTATAGCTGGTCCCTGCAGGCTTTTTAATGTAAACACACACTGTGTGCAGCACTGGCGTTAGTTCATATGGCAGATCATATGGGTGGGGCATTGTGATGTGACATGTGGGGGCAGCAAATTTTTATTTTGTCTAGGGCGGCAAAAATCCTTGCACCGGCTCTGATCCTGGGCAGGTGCACCAGTCTACTTGACTGGTTTTGCCCCCCAGGCCTAAGGCTGCCAGCCCTCCCCTGGCCGCTGGGGAGGTCTTTTGGCGGCCGCTGGCGGACTTGTCCTGGCGGCCGCTGAGGGAGCTGCGCGAGCTGCGCTGGCTCTGCTCCCCAGCACGCAGCTGAATGAGACCGGCGCCGGAATATGACGTCATATTCCGGCGCCAGTCTCATTCAGCAGCGCGCGAGGGCGGGAGGGCACTAACACAGGAAGCACCTCTAGTGACCGTCTGAGTGACTGTCACTAGCAGTGTCACTTTGAAGCAATGTAAACACTGCCTTTTGTCTGAAAAGTCAGTGTTTACGTTGAAAAGCCTGTAGGGACATGCTATAGACACCAGTACCACCACATTAAGCTGTGTGTGTGCGTCTGCTAGTGAGTGAGCTTGCTTGCATGCGTGTGCCTGCTAGTGAGTGAGCTTGTGTTTTTATGTCAATGAGCTGATGTATATCAGTAAGATTGTTTGTCTATGAGGCTGTGTATCAATGAGCTTGTGTGTGTCACTGAAATGTCAGTGAAATTGCCTGTGTCTGCATGTGCGTATGCTTACTGTATAATTAAACGTTTTACCCTGAAAGGACCAATATTTTATATATATATATATATATATATATATATATATATATATTGCTCAATCATCTGTCCTGGCAAGACATAGCCTTACATATTACAAGCGACAATATATGGCGCAGTGACTTATGGGGCTGGCACAATTTTTTTTTCCAGGGCTGCTTTGTATCCCCAGTCCGGCCCTGAGCTTGAAGAACCACCAGCACAAGCATCAACACAATAATCACCAAATCACTTCATCTGTGAGCAAGTCTACATCATGTAAGTACTGTGGCAGTATACATGTGAGAGAGAAAGAACAGTGTCCTGCATATGGGAAAACCTGTAGATCATGTGGTAGGCTAAATCATTTTGCTGGAGTATGTCTGTCAAGAAGAAAGAAAGCAAGGAAGCTAAGCACAATTGAACACATGTCTGATTCTGAGGATGCACTCCTGCTTAGCAATGATGTGATTTACTTAAAGGAATGCAATGGTGCTGTAAAGTCTAAGGGCAAAAAATGGTTTGTAAATCTCAGACTGATTAATATATGCCAACCCTGGCAGCTGGATTCTGGTGCAACATGTGATGTCATGAGTTTGAAAGACAAGATGAAACTGGCACCTAGGGCACCACTTCAGCCCAGCAGCACCAAGCTGAAGCTATATTCAGGGGAACTAATAGAATCATTATGACTTTTCCAAACAGAGTGCAGCATACGTGAAAATATACACAAACTTGAATTTGAGATTGTTGAAGCCAATCAGAAACCGCTATTGTCTGGTTCAACATGTAAGCGCCTGGGACTGATGCAATTCACAATTCCTGCAGAGCTGCACAATGTTGATAATCAGCTTGCAAAGCCCTTGACTAGGACACTGACAAAACTGCAAATCCTCAATGTCTATAATGATATGTTTACTGGCCCAGTAGTATCTGTTGCAGGAGTGGTTCATTTTGAACTGGATCCTACCATTCCACCATTCCATGTGCCCCACGCAATGTGCCTATAGCCATTAAGCCACAAGTAAAAGCCCAACTGGATAAGTATGAAGCTGACGGACATCTTACATCTGTATCAGAGCCAACTGACTGGATAAGCAACATGGTAGTTATTAGAAAGCCTGAAAAGATTAGAATTTGCATTGATCCAAAGTTTCTTAACATGGCCCTGAGAAGGTCACACTACACAATGCCAACACTTGAGGATGTTTTGCACAAACTGCCTAAAACACGTGTTTTTACACTTGTTGATGCAAGAGATGCCTTTCTACAGTGCAAACTGGGTGAAAAGAGTAGCTATATGACCACTTTCTGGACTACCGAAAGAGATGGCTCAAACTGCCGTTTGGAGTCTCCGTAGCCCCAGAAGTATATCAGCGAAAGCAACATGAACTGTTAAGTGAGCTCCATGGTATTGAACCAATAGCAGATGACATTCTTATAATTGGCTGTGGTAATACAGCCAATGTGGATGAGGAAGCTGAGCATGACCATGATGAGAAGCTAGTAGCATTATTGGATCGCTGCAGACAGGTAATGCTGAGACTCCGCGTAAAGAAATTCAAGGTACAAGAAGTCTGCTTCCATGGACATATCCTGTCTCAACAAGGCTTGAAAGCTGACCCAGATAAGATTAGAGCCACTGTGCACCTGCCACGGCCTGGTGACACCAAAGCAGTGCAGCATTTTATTGGCTTTGTCACATACCTAGCAAAATTCATGCCACATTTGTCTGAGGTGTGTGAGCCATTGAGAAGGCTTCTAGATAAAGATGCAGTTTGGCATTGGCTTCCCAAGCATGACCAGGCAGTGGAGGAAATAAAACGCTTGATCACAGCTGCCCCAGTGCTAAAATATTATGATGTAGAAAAGCCTGTTCCAATACAAAGCGACTCAAGCTAAAATGGCCTAGGATGTTGTCTATTGCAAGAAGGTCAGCCAGTTGCATTTGCATCCAGAGCACTCTCTTCAGCTTAGCAAAATTATGCTCAAATTGAAAAGGAATGTTTAAGCATTGTTTTTGCCTGTCAGCGTTTCCATCATAATCTCTATGGCCGGGATGCAATCATTGCTGAAACTGATCACAAACCGCTAATAGCCTGTGGCGAAACCAACCTCGCCACTGGGCATTGGAGAAGCCTGTTTGCCTGCCTCCTGCCTGCTGACTATGGCCCCTGGGAGATTTGGCCCTTTAAATACAGTATTTGGGCATATTGTATTCTATTATGCTGCTGGCCCTTTAAGAACCATCTGGGGACATACTGTGGAGTTACTGGGTGGCCACCATTTCATGTATCAGAGGCAGATGGTGAGAACAATGGATGAAGCACATGGTGAGAACAATGGATGGCGGCCATTTTAACTCACAGACACTGTTTGGACTTTTCAACAAGGTGCCATCTCGCCAGTGTTTTGTGCACAGAGATATCGTGCAGTGGTTTTGGACTATACAACAGGGGACACATTATACAGTAATTGTTTTTCATATAGCCTGCATATGTTCTGTGGAATCTGCATTAAACTGTATCTTCCAAAGTACTGAACGGATCTGGGTGAATTTTGGATATGTGGTTCACCCAGATCCCCCGGTTCCAATGATATACTTTAATTTATGGGGTTATTGCATGTTTTGGGGTCCCTGTGATGTGTTTTATGATACTGTATTTCTCTGCCTGTGATAATTATATTAACCATTGTGTTCAGTAATCATATCACAGGCAGAGGGTAGGATTTTGTGTGGGAGTGTCTGTGTGTATTGTATGGATTGATTGGTTGTATTTCAAAACCCTGTGGGCAGTACTATGTTTGTGGATTGTGAATAAAAGAGGCTGTATGTGCCAGTACAGTCAGTTCTGCTTGACCTCAAAACGAAGTGTCATCTCGTTATTGGGGGAATTGGATTGTATGCTGATTGCCAGGAGTGTAAGCTGATGGTATGCTTTTCCTGTTCAGCTGCTTACAACATTCATATGCTTGAGAGCATTCGTATGCTTCTCCGGTTCGGTGGTTGTGGTGTCTGTTGCAGTGCTTGGAGTCCTCAGGAAGCACTAGGAGCATCCTTCAATGGAGGTACCCAGTCGGGGTGCCAGGTGATCCGTTACATAGCCATATTCAAGAAGTCGCTTTTATGTGCTCCAAAGCGTTTGCAGAGCATGATGCTTACATTGCAGAATTACAATCTCAATGTTGTGTACAAGCCAGGATTTGAAATGTACATCAGTGACACCCTAAGCAGAGCTACAATGGAACACGCGGCACCTGGAGGTGAGCATGAGCATCTTGCAGTTTGTTTGTTGCAGCAGGAACAGAATTTCTTTGCCAAAGTCAATCAAGCAGACTATCTTAATGTCACAGATCAGCGGCTACATAAGCTCATACAGCACACAGAAAGTAATGCAACTTTGCAAGCACTGAAGTCTATAGTTCTGATGGGGTGGCCAGATGAAAAGGATGCAGCACCTGCAATTGTGAAGGAATATTGGTCCTTCAGAGATGAGATCAGCATACAAAATGGTATCTTGTACAAAGGTCCAAGTGCCAAAGTCACTAAGAGCAGAGATGTTATCGCGCATACACTCAAGCCACATCGGAGGTGAGGCTTGCTACAGACAAGCTCGTGATACTCTTTACTGGCCCAACATGCAAGGTGAAATCAAAGACTGTCAGCAATTGTCCCACTTGCAATGAATATGCACACTCGCAACAAAAAGAAACCATGATGTCACATGAGATACCTACACGTCCTTATCAGATTGTAAGCATGGACTTATTCAACCATGCTGGAAAAGAGTACCTGCTGTTAGTCGATCATTACTCAGACTTCTGGGAAATTGAACTGCTTCCTGACCTGTCCACTGAAACTACAATTAATCGATGCAAGGCGAAATTTGCATGTCATGGCCAACCAACTAAAGTGATTTCTGACAATGGTCCTCAGTTTTCAAGCTTACAGTTCAGGAAATTTGCTACTGAATGGGAGTTTGATCATGTACTTCTTCACCACGTCATCCACAAGCTAATGGCAAAGCTGAATCTGCTGTGAAAATAGTGAAGAATTTATGCAAAAAAGCAAAAAGTGATGGTAAAGACCCATGGAAAGCCATCTTACATTGGAGAAACACTCCAACAGAGGGTATGGATAGTAGTCCGGCACAGAGACTGATGTCAAGGAGATGCTGATGATACTAAGATATGTAACAGGGTTGATGTTCCAGGAGAGATGTTCCAGAAGCCAAATGGCAAATTATTTAGGTAAACTAGAAAAATGGTCAGAGTTGTGGCAACTGACATTTAATGTGGATAAGTGCAAGATAATGCATATTGGACGTAAAAACCAGAGGGCAGAGTACAGAATATTTGATAGTCCTAACCTCAACATGTGAGGAAAGGGATTTAGGGGTGATTATTTCTAATGACTTAAAGGTAGGCAGAAAATGTAATAGAGCAGCAGGAAATGCTAGCAAAATGCTTGGTTGTATAGGGAGAGGTATTAGCAGTAGAAAGAGGGAAGTGCTCATGCCATTGTATAGAACACTGGTGAGACCTACTTGGAGTATTGTACGCAGTACTGGAGACCGTATCTTCAGAGTTCAGAGAAGGGCTACTAAACTGGTTCATGGATTGCAGGATAAAACTTACCAGGAAAGGTTAAAGGATCTTAACATGTATATCTTGGAGGAAAGATGAGACAGGAGGGATATGATAGAAACATTTAAATACATAAAGAGAATTAACACAATAAAGGAGGAGACCATATTTAAAAGAAGAAAAGCAACCACAACAAAAGGACATAATCTTAAATTAGAGGGGCAAAGGTTTAAAAATAATATCAGGAAGTTTTACTTTACTGAGAGGGTAGTGGATGCATGGAATAGCCTTCCAGCTGAAGTGGTAGAGGTTAACACAGTAAAGGAGTTTAAACATGCATGGGATAGGCATAAGGCTATCCTAACTATAAGATTAGACCAAGAACTAATGAAAGTATTTAGAAAATTGGACAGACTAGATGGGCCGAATGGTTCTTATCTACGGTCACATTCTATGTTTCTATGAGATTAAAGAGCTCCTTACCAGTAGCCAACAAGCTACTTGAACCCTCTGTAATACAAGGTTTACCAGAAAAGTTACGACTTAAGAGGCAAGTGTTTAAGGCTAGATATGACTCATCTGCTAGGGATTTACCTGAACTGAATATTGGGGAACAAATCCGTATGAAACCGCTTCCTGGAGATCGAACAGGTCACTGGAGACTGGGAACCTGTCTGCAAAAGGTTGCACCATGCTCTTATCTTGTGGATATCAAAGGAACTCTTTACTGATGCAATCGTGTGGATCTGCGAATGGCTGAGAAGCCCAATTCTCAATATCCAGTTGACAAGCCAGACACACCTGGTATTCCAAGGACACACTCACATGTCAGCAGTGAAGAAGAAGTGATACCACAGACTAGTACTAATGACAGCCCTGAGAAAGGAGGACCTGACAGCAGTCAAGTTCAAAGCATGCCAGTAGGTGGTGGGAAGAGTCCAGTAACCTCAGAGAGGGCTAAAAGACTATTTGCACAACCTGGACCAGTCGTCACTCGTAATGGCAGAAATTCACAACCACCTGAGAGACTTAACCTCTAGAATGTTATTGCAAGGACAGTGTTTCACAATGCTGATTTATTAATACTAAAAGAGGGAGATGTTATGGATGTTATGTTTTGTTTACATGCAACTAACTCTATGGTTTATTCTCTATTGCACGAGTTTCCTGTTGGGGTGTGTGCTTCCTTCCTGTATCTCCTAAACATGGCTGCTATACAATTATTTATATCTCCTGAAACAGAGAGCAGCTGCTAAAATACCATTAGATAGCTGCAAACAGATATTTGAAGCTGCTGGTGCTTCTGGAGTCCCACGGACATCAAGGTGTAGAGTCCTCCAGAGTCTTTCAACTGTGCAAAAATCTTCTATTCAGCCACCACTAACCAATGCTTACAAGACGAAACGGCTGCATTGGGCAGAAAAATACATGAAGACTAATTTTCAAACAGTCCTGTTTACTGATGAGTGCCGTGCAACCCTGGATGGTCCAGATGGATGGAGTAGTGGATGATTGGTAGACAGCCGCCCCGTTCCAACAAGGCTGCGACGTCAGCAAGGTGGTGGTGGAGTCATGTTTTGACTGACCACTTTCTTCCCTGGTACAGAAGCAAGAACTATGCTTTCCGTAATAAAATCATCTTCATGCATGTCAATGCACCATCTCATGCTGCAAAGAATACCTCTGTACCAATGGCTGCTATGGGGATAAAAGGAGAGAAAGTCATGGTGTGGCCTCCATCCTCCCCTGACCTCAATCCTATTGAGAATCTTTGGAGCATCCTCAAGCAAAAGATCTATGAGGGTGGGAGGCAGTTTACATCCAAACAGCAGCTCTGGGAGGCTATTCTGACATCTTGCAAACAAATTCAAGCAGAAACTGTCCAAAAACTCACAAGTTCAATGGATGCAAGACTTGTGAAGCTGCTATCAAATAAGGGGTCCTTATGTTAAAATGTAACGTGACCTGTTAAAATGTTTAAAAAGTTAAAATGTTGTTATAGGTTTGATTAAAATAGCTTTTGATTTCAGTAAATATGCTGCAAACACAACAAATGACAATTTTCAGTTCTTTACAACCTATAAAGTGTTTTGAAACTTACTGTGCGTAATATTTTGGAACAGTGCATTGTAAGTTTTTTATGTTTTAAAAAAATACTGTTATCATTAGGAGGTTTGTTCAATAAAATTTGAATTGTACTCGTAATACTTGATAACATGAGAATTATGCTGACTGTTATTTATATCAATTATTTAGGTAAATGAGAAAAATATAATAATTAGGATCTCTCTGGTATTCTCTGAGATATTACCTGTGCCACGTGCTACAGTGGAAAGGCAGCGGGAGATTAGAGAGGTCAATGCGTGGCTTAAGTCTTGGTGCAGGAAGGAGGGTTTTGGGTTTTTAGAGCACTGGGCCGACTTTGCGATTGGGTACAACCTTTATAGTGGGGATGGATTGCACCTAAAGGGGAGAGGGTCTGCAGTGCTGGGGGATAGGATGGCTAGAAGGTTGGAGGAGATTTTAAGCTAGTAGTAGGGGGGAGGGTCATAGCAATCTACAAAATGGAGATAGGACAGAAAGGAGATGGGCTTTAGCACAGTATAAGGGAGGTGGAGACGGGGGGAGGGGCAAGCTCAGAACAGAGAAGCTGTGTAATGTTGAAAATTCACAAAATATACAATTGACACATAATATCAAATGTATGCTTACTAATGCAAGGAGCCTAAATAACAAAATGGGGGAACTAGAGGCATTAGCATACACTAAACAATATGATATAATAGGCATAACTGAAACATGGTGGGATGAGACACATGACTGGGAAGCTAACTTAAATGAGTACATGTTATTTAGGAAGGATAGGAAAAACAAGAAGGGTGGTGGGGTATGTTTGTATGTCAACCATGATTTAAAGCCAAATGTTAAGCAAATGGAATACGAGGAGGATAATGTGGAAGCTTTATGGGTAAATATCTGCTTGGGGGAAAAGAAGGGAAACCAACTATTGGTTGGGATATGTTATAAACCACCTAATGTTAATATTGACGAGGAACAACAGCTGTTTGAGCAAATTGAGAAAGCTGCAAATCTGGGTAACACTTTAATTATTGGAGATTTTAATTACCCGGATATAAATTGGGACAGAGGGACTAGTACCTCAGCAAAGGGAATTAGGTTTTTAAACTTGTTAAATTACACCTTCATGTCACATCTTGTACAAGCACCAACTAGAATGGACGCTTGTCTGGACCTGGTTTTAACAAACAACGTTGATCTTTTGACCAACATTCAAGTAGGTGAGCACTTGGGAAATAGTGATCACAATATAGTGTCCTTTGAAATAAACTCAAAAAAACAAAAGCACATGGGGAATACTAAAACATATAATTTTAAAAAGGCCAATTTCAATAAGTTAAGGGAAGCTTTACAATATATTGACTGGCATAAACTCTTTAGTGAAAAGAACACTGAGGATAAATGGATCATCTTCCAACAAATATTAAAAAGGTACATTTCTCAGTATGTACCGTTGGGAAATAAATATAAAAGAAACAAATTAAAACCAATGTGGCTGAGTAGAGAAGTAAAACAAGAGATTACAACTAAGAAAAGGGCATTTAAAGCATTTAAATCGGACAAATCAGATGCATCTTATAAAAGATATAAGGAAGCAAATAATGCGTGCAAAAAGGCAATTACACTTGCTAAACTTCAAAATGAAATAATGATAGCTAAGAGAGCAAAACCAACCCCAAAGCATTTTTTAAGTACATAAATTCTAAAAAACAAAACAAAATGAAAGTGTAGGTACACTGAAAACTGAAACGGGGGTATTAGTTAATGAAGACCAGGAAAAGGCAGGAATTTTAAATAACTATTTCTCCTCCGTCTATATTAAGGAAGAACCCATGGCAATAGATATGCAAATGATTGCTGCAAAAAACTTGCAGAATAATTGTAATTGGTTAACTCAAGACAAGGTGCTGCAGCAACTAAAGAAAGTGAATATAAACAAAGCTCCAGGGCCTGACGGTATCGATCCACGTGTACTTAAGGAACTAAGTGTAGAAATAAGTGAAACTCTGTTTTTAATCTTTCAAGATTCTTTTCTTTCAGGAAGTGTTCCGGAGGATTGGAGGAAGGCAGATGTGGTTCCTATATTCAAAAAGGGTTCAAAATCCTTGCCTGGAAATTATAGACCTGTGAGCTTAACTTCTGTGGCTGGGAAAATATTTGAAAGGTTACTAAGGGATAATATTCAAGAATTCCTTGAGAAGAACATGGTTATCAGCAAAAATCAGCACGGTTTTATGAAGCACAGGTCATGTCAAACTAACTTGATTGCGTTCTACGAAGAAGTAAGTAGAAGTATAGATCAGGGTGTTGCCGTGGATGTGATCTTTTTGGATTTTGCCAAGGCATTTGATACAGTTCCACACAATAGATTAGTGTTCAAACTCAAGGAAATCGGTCTAGATGAAAATGCTTGTTCTTGGGTAGAACATTGGCTTAAAAACAGAGTACAAAGAGTTGTCATTAATGGTAAATTTTCAAGCTGGACAGAGGTGGCAAGTGGTGTCCCTCAGGGGTCTGTTCTGGGACCCCTTCTATTTAACATGTTTATAAATGATCTTGAAGACCGCATTGAAAGTCATGTTTCAGTGTTTGCAGATGACACAAAACTTTGTAAAACAATACAATGTGAGCAAGATATTATTTTGCTGCAGAGGGATTTAGATAGACTGGGGGACTGGGCACTCAAATGGCAGATGAAATTTAATGTTGAAAAATGCAAAGTTATGCACTTCGGCGTAAAGAATACACATGCAAAGTATACCCTTAATGGAAGCGAATTAGGGATAACAACACACGAAAAGGACTTGGGAATTGTTATAGACAACAAACTATGCAACAATGTGCAATGTCAATCAGCAGTGGCCAAGGCCAGTAAGGTTTTGTCATGTATAAATAGGGGTATAAACTCTCGGGATGAAAATATAATTTTGCCTCTTTATAAATTGCTGGTTTTTTGAACCCTTTTTAAATATAGGGACAACATCTGCCTTCCTCCAATCCTCCGGTACAATACCTGAAACAAAGGAATCTTGAAAAATTAAATACAGAGGTTCACTTATTTCCCCACTTAGCTCCTTAAGTACTCGTGGGTGAATACCGTCAGGCCCTGGAGCTTTATTTACATTAATTTTCTTTAATAGCTGTAGCACCTTGTCTCGAGTTATCCAATCACAAGTCATCTGCAATTTTTTTGCAGCAATCATTTGCATATCTCTTGCCATAGGATCATTATTAATATGTACTGAAGAAAAATAGTTATTTAAAATTTCTGCTTTTTCCTGGTCTTCATTAGCTAACAAACCCAACTCTGTTTTCAGTGTTCATATTTTGTTTTTTTAGAATTGATGTACTTGAAAAAAAATTGGGGTTGGTTTTGCATTCTTTGGCTATCAATTTCAAATTTTCTAGTTTAGCCACTTTAATTGCCTTTTTGCAAGCGTTTTTGGCTTCCTTATATCTTATATAGGGTGCCACTGATTTGTCCGATTTAAATGCTTAAAATACCCTTTTCTTATTTTTAATCTCTTGTTTTACTTCTCTACTAAGCCACATTGGTTTTAATTTGTTTATTTTATATTTATTACCCAATGGTACATACTGAGAAATGTACCTTTCTAATATTTGTTTGAATAGTTTCCATTTATTCTCAGTGTTTTTATCACTAAGGAGTTTATGCCAGTCGATATGTTGTAGAGCTGCCCTAATCTTATTGAAATTGGCTTTTTTAAAATTATATGTTTTAGTATACCCCACTTGCTTTTGCTTTTTTGAGTTTATTTCAAAATTTACCATATTGTGATCACTATTTCCCAAATGCTCCCTTACTTGAATGTTGGTTAAAAGATCAACATTGTTTGTTATAACGAGATCCAGATAAGCATCCTTTCTAGTTGGTGCTTGTACCAGTTGTGACATAAAGGTGTCATTTAACACATTCAAAAACCTGATTCCCCTTGCTGAAGTACTAGTCCCTCTATCCCAATTTATGTCTGGATAATTAAAATCTCCAATAATTAACGTGTTACCCAGATTTGCAGCTTTCCCAATTTGCTCTAACAGCTGTTCTTCCTCAATAATATTTACATTAGGTGGTTTATAACATATCCCAACCAATAATTGATTTCCCTTTGTTTGCCCCAAGCAGATATCTACTCATAAAGCCTTAACTGCCCAGTCATGTGTCTCATCCCACCATGTTTCTGTTATGCCTATTATATCATATTGTTTAGTGTATGCTATTGCCTCTAGTTCCCCCATTTTGTTATATAGGCTCCTTGCATTAGTAAGCATACATTTAATATTATGTGTCACTTGTATATTTTGTGAATTTTCAATATTACACAGCTTCTCTGTTCTGAGCTTGCCCCTCCCCCCGTTTCCACCCCCCTTATACTGTGCTAAAGCCCATCTCCTTTCTGTCCTATCTCCATTTTGTAGATTGCTATGACCCTCCCCCCCTACTACTAGTTTAAAATCTCCTCCAACCTTCTAGCCATCCTATCCCCCAGCACTGCAGACCCTCTCCCGTTTAGGTGCAATCCATCACCACTATAAAGGTTGTACCCAATCGCAAAGTCGGCCCAGTGCTCTAAAAACCCAAAACCCTCCTTCCTGCACCAAGACTTAAGCCACGCATTGACCTCTCTAATCTCCCGCTGCCTTTCCACTGTAGCACGTGGCACAGGTAATATCTCAGAGAATACCACCTTGGAGGTCCTTTTCTTAAGTTTGCTACCTAATTCCCTGAAATCATTCTTTAGGACCTTCCATCTTCCTCTTACTTTGTCATTGGTACCAACATGGACCATGACCGCTGGGTCATCCCCAGCCCCTCCCAATAATCCATCCACTCTGTCAGCAACATGCCGGACCCGAGCACCCGGGAGACAGCAAACTGTCCGGTTGAGCCGATCAGAGCGGCAGATTGCCCTATCTGCTCTCCTAATGATAGAGTCCCCTACCACCACAACCTGTCTTGCCTTCCTTACATTTTGATCCCCACCCGTACTAGAGGGGCTGTTAGCTCGGATGTTAGAAGTAACAGCTTCATCTAATACAGCTACTCCTGAGCTGATGCTCCAAACAAAAAAAATTATATCTGTTTAGTTTGGAAAAACGGTGCCTGAGAGGGGATATGATAACATTATACAAATCTATTTGGGGCCAGTACAAACCTTTATCTGGAAATCTATTCATAAACAGGGCTATACATAGGACACTAGGTCACACATTACAGATATTTAAACTGCAATTGGATAAATACATAACATACAGGGATATAATTTATAATTAGTGGGGTAATAGCTGCTTGATCCATGGAGACATCTGACTGCTATTTTGGGGTCAAGAATTATTTTTTTCCTAGTTTGTTGCAAAATTGGAAGCACTTCAGATTGCTCCTTGCAGACCCTTCCTTCTCCTTGCAGACCCTTCCTACTCCTTGCTGCTTCTTGCATATCCTTCCTGCTCCTTGCTGACCCTTCCTGCTAATTTCTGCTCCTTCTCCTACTTTACATTTGTGCTCCTTCTGCCCCGTCCAGCTCATTGCTGACCCTTTCTGCTCCTTGATGTCCCTTCCTGCTCATTTCCTTCTCCTACTTTATCTTTGTGCTCCTTCTGTCCCTTCCTACTCCTTGCTGCCCTTTCCAGCTCCTTGCTGACCCTTTCTGCTCCTTCTACTTTACCTTTGTGCTGCTTTACCTTCCAGCTCCTTGCTGCCCCTTCCTGCTTCTTGCTGCCCCTTCCTTCTCCTTGCTGACACTTCCTGCTCCTTGTGACCCTTCCTGCTCCTTGGTGCTCCTTGCTGACCATTCCTGCTCCATGACGTTAATATGGAATAGGGGCCCGTGGCGTAAATATGGAATTATATGTACAATATGTATTATGGAGATTTAAAATGGGAACCCCTTATTGCATTTTTCTACTGTATTTTAATGTTTGAGACCATCGTGTTTTGTTTTGTTTTTATGTAATGAAGTCTGTTAATGTTTTTGATCAATTGGATTTTAAAACAGATTGACTAATATGTGTTTTAGATAATAAGAACACTGGGATAAAGGGGCATTGGGAGATCAATAATGTAGCTTGATGATCCGTGATTTTATGTCTTATTTGTTATATTTGAAAATACTTAATAAATATTTATAAAAAAAAGATGTAGCTTCCTATCCCTGTCTCTCTCCATACACAGCCGGTATTGCAGTGTATTTTCAAACTCACACGAAAAATAGCAGAACAAGCTGAAAAATTCAGGGTGGGTGGGGGGGGGGGCAATTGCGGACGCCCATGCCTTGTACCACATAATGGTGGCACTGGCCCTGAATGGTTGCATGTATAAGTGATTTATCTAATCACTATTCATCTAACTCATGAATTATATAATCATTAAATGTAGAAAATGATTTTCTCAAAATAATTAAAAATATATATATATTCTCATACAAAATAAATTGCCTTATTAGTATGCCTTGTACTCTTATTTTGAAATAATAAAAACATTAATTTATAGTCTAAATTACAGACTATATCTTCTCTTGCTGATACTTCAAAATAATTAACTGGTTTTACTGTTATGTTTGCATTCTTAGTACTTGGTAATTAAAAACTTCCTCAATAAACCAATATCATAAAATAATAAAACAGAGATATGTGGACCTGCCCAGCAAGTTGGAGTGACTCATGGTTGTTATGAGATATAATCCTTTACATATACTGTTTGACTATTCCTTTGTCGGAAGAGGGCAAAGAACATGGCTTGTAAAAAAATAATGTTTGCATCTGATAACTTTGAGCTCTTTTATGGCACCACTCCTTTCTTTAAAAAGTGGTTGATGTTTGACTAGAACCTTCTGATATTGCTTAGAGTAAACAGACTTCCTGGCAGAGTAAAATTCTTAGTTCACCTTTATCTGATATCTGATGAAGTTAATGCCTTCTCATATGTGTGATTTATTACACAATGGGATTGTCTTTTTTTGTAATTTTTTTTAAAGCATATTTTGTTTTAAATAGGACATTAACAAAAGAAAAAAAACATGAAACATTTGATTTATTAATTTTGATTATTTTTTTAGAGACCTCTTTCCATTTATTCCAATTAGCCCAAATATTTTTATATTTATTAATATTTTCGGTATTAATAAAATATCTCCTTGCCATAAGTTCCTGGTTGTTAATTTGATTATCATGTGGGATCAAGAAACCATACCTTCTTTTTTTCCATTTTCTAGCAATTGCCATTTTCACTGTCGCGAGAATATGAATTGGCTTGAGACATGCCTAGACTGGCCAATAGGCAATTGCCTGGTGGACCGTTATGGCTTGAGACAAGGCAGACAGACGAGATCAAAGGATCTCTCCTACCAGCACGTACAGAACTAGCACTAACCATGCACTGGTCCTGCTGTGTGCCATAACGGGCCGGTGGGAAGACCTGTTGACCAACTTTCTGAAACTCAATCTCTCTAAAACTGAGCTCCTTGCCTTTCCTTCTCCTACCACTGATCCTCCTCTTTCGCTCTCCCTTCAAGTTAGTGGTACCAACTTAAGTTCATCCTTGCAAGCGCGCTGTCTTAGCTTCATACTTGACTCTGGCCTCACCTTTGAGCCTCAGATCCAGTATGTTGCCAAATTCTGTAGATTACATGTTAAGAACATAGCCCACATCCGGCCCTTTCTTACACAAGATGCTACCAAGGAGCTTAACCATGCTCTAGTAATTTCCTGCATGGATTATTGTAACACTCTCCTAATTGGTCTTCCCAAAAGCTGTATTGCCCCTCTACAGTCTGTAATGAATGCTGCCACCAGACTGATCTTCCTCTCTAGTCGGTCCTCTCACCCCTCTGTCAGTCCTTACATTGGCTTCCTGTATCCTATAGGAGTCAATTCAAAGTGCTAACCCATACCTATAAAGCACTGAACAATTCTAGCCCCTCTTATATCTCATCACAGATCCATAGGTATGCCCCTTCTCGGTCTCTCCGCTTTGATTAGCTATAAGATTAGTTTGGCATGATCTCCCTGAAGTAAACCTACATTGTCTTTGATCTTGAAATCCATGTGATTTTAGATGTTCAACAATTTAACATGGTTTCCATCACGTTCCCGACTACTGAAGTAAGGCTTACTGGAGTATAGTTGCAAGACTCCTCCCTACTACCTTTCTTCTAACTTTCAATCTTCTGGGACTACTCCTGTTAACAATGAATGGTTAAATAAATCCGTAAATGATTTTGCTAGTACACCACTAAATTATTTTAACAACTTTGGGTGTATTCCATCAGGCCCATCAACTTATTTGTCTTTCTTTTGACAGTTGAAATAGAACCTCTTCCTCTGTAAACTCACATGTAACAAATTACCCATTTGTCCTTTTTCCTAACTGAAGTCCCTCTCCTTCATTTTCATCTGTAAATACTGAACAAAAATTTTCATTGAGGCAGTCAGCTAGACCTTTATCCTCTTCTACATACCTTCCTTCCTTTGTTTTTAAATCTAACTAATCCTTGTTTTACTTTCCTTTTCTCATTTATGTATTTAAAAAATGTTTTATCCCCCTTTTTTACTGACTGTGCTATATGTTAGCAATATTCAACATGGTTTTATGAAATATAGGTCATGTCAAACTAACCTAATTGCATTATATGAAGAAGTAAGTAGAAGTGTAGATCAGAATATTGCAGTGGATGTGATCTACTTGGATTTTGCAAAGAGATTTGATACGGCAAGTCAGTGTTCAAACTAATATAAATTTGTCTAGATCAGGGGTTCCCAACCCAGTCCTCAAGTAACCCCTACCAGTCCTGTTGTGTCTAAAGTGTTTTTTTTCCTTTTTCTAAAAACACCTTAAATACAACTGGGTAATCCCTAAATCCTGGACTGTAAGGGAGTACTTGAGGACTGGGTTTGGAAACGCTGGTGTAGATGAAAATTCTTCTTCTTGGGTAGAACATTGGCTTAAAAAATAGAGCACAACAGTTGAGAAAGCACCAGGGAGGTGCAAAACGCGTCCAGGGTACTTGCATCACTTGTTTTTTGGGTAGTGGTGTGGGTGGTCTCTCCCTTGTCTGGCAGGTATTGCGACAATTAATATTCCTCTCATTCATCTCTCCTATTTTTGCAAAGTTTGTTTCTTTTGCTTGGATATTTAT